TATATTCCACCCTCTCAGAGGGAAGAGTTACGGTGTCAGTTTGAGCAGCTCGAGCAGGGTCAGATGTCTGTGACCGACTATGAGGCGATATTCTTTGAGTTGTCTCGCCATGCACTCATGATACCTCCTACGGATGCAGAGAGAGTGCGGAGATTTGTTGCAGGGTTACACCCCGGTATTTGAGCTAGCATGGCCCAAGAGCTCGAGATTAGGACTGAGTATCATCTAGTGGTGGAGATTTCGCGGAGGATTAAGGGTTACCGCCAGACGGGTAGAGAGCAGTTGCAGTAGGACAAGAGGGCCCCATTCACTGGAGAGTTTAGAGGTGCCCCAGTTAGGGGCAGAGGTCACTTTGGAAGGGGCATCCGCATATTCAGCACCACCACTACCTCCTCGAGGTGCTCCAGTGAGGCCTTATTTCAGTGTGATGCCGGAGAGTTCTTACTGCCCACCAGCTATTCAGGGTTCCTCCGGCGGGTATTCTGGTCATCAGGGTTCTTCTAGTGGATATTCGGCCCATCAGGGTCAGGCTTCAGAACAGCAATTTATGGCACCGCGGGATTGTTACGATTGTGGAGATCCGGGTCACATAAAGAGGACCTGCCCCAGACTTCGGGGCAAGGCAGTACACCAGGGTCATCGGATTATGATTACAGCAACAGCCGTCCGCCCAGAGGTGGGGGACAGGTTGGTAGGGGTTGATCGCTGCTGACTCGACGCTACACTAAGGTAGGAAGAGTGGGTCGCAATAGCTTTTACCCGAATAGTGGTTCGGGATCGAATTTCCACAGGGAGCTAGTAGTGGAGTTCTATTATCTGTCTAGTCTAGAGATGCGGTTGTCCTTCTAATGCCACTTCAAACATTTTTGGTTTTCTTTGATTCTTATAACTACTATTATAAAACTAATAATTAAAACTAAATTATGCTACGAGAATATTGCTAAGTTGTATTTAATATAGAGAAAGGCACTAGGGTCGTGGCATTGCCTAGGTGGCTAATTAACGGGTAGATGTTACTAAGGATAGATTGACATATTTGGGGCTTATGCTATAACCGTTGCACAATTGTACCCACTCTCACACCTCTCGGTTGAGAGAGTGATTTTGCCCAATTGACTCTCTCGAGACCAATTGAGTAGGCCAATTAGACCAAGCAACTAGGGTTCAAGTAGGGTATACTCTCTCGAGATTTAACCCGTTAATTGGGACTACCATTTCTCATGGGTCCATCCCAATTCCTTGTTGGGTCAATTTTGGGGTTATGGACTCTCTTTCTCAAGAAGAGTTAAACCCACAAAGCTAGAATCAGTGTTTGCAACCACCAATCCTTAATTAAAATATAAAATCAACCCAAATAACAAACACCCAATATCAATCTAACCTTAGATGGCAACACCCATCAATCACTAGGGTTGAGCCACAACCCTAGCTAATGAGTTTAGCTACTCATGCTAGATACAGAAATTGAAGAAATAGATGAAGAACTAAGCATATTAATTAATTACTAAGAAGAAACTACAATAATAAAGAGCAAAAAATGCCGAGAATGGCTACAATATCCGGTCTCACGAGCTCAGCTGCGTTCAGAATATAAAACTTGACCTAAAAACGGTAAAAGGTCCTATTTATACTAGGCTGGAAAAACAGGACAAAAATATCCCTGCAGGGTCAGCGCGGACCGCGCAAAAAGGACGTGGCCGCACTGGCTCTTGGACTTCTGGTTTCTGCTTCTCTGAAGTTGAGGACCGCGGACCGCGTGGAAATGCAGCGCGGCCGCGATGGAAGTT